GCTTCATATGTTTGCACACACAGGTTTGCTTATGAGTACACAGATTTTAAATACATTTAGGATGAGAAGAATAAAATATTAAGTGAAAAGAAATTGCCGAGATAGAGACAGAGAGAGGAGACAGATGCATCTGATATCACCTAGGATATGTACCTATGCAGAATTATATACATGTTTCTGTATTGGTATTTTAGGAAGGATAACTAGACATCAAGGCATGTGGATGAAGCAATAGAGTGTAAGTTAGTGGTGACTGCCTTTATGTTTAGTTTTCTTTCAAGCAGGCAGTTACTTCAAGGTAATCACTTAATTTTTCTGGGTTCCCCATTAATTCACTGGTAAAACTGACTATATGATTTCTATAGGTATCTCAAGCTGAACCATTCAAGGGTCCTGCCTCTTTTCAGAGGGTGGATAATATGTGAACAGACATTTTTAAGTAAGGCTGGGAACTCCCGAGATTAAAGTCAAATCTTGTTGGGCCAGGATTTTTTAAATAAAATTATTTGTACCATATTTTTTAAATAATAAAAGGAGGTTTTATTGTTGTTTTGTTTTTGATTTTGTTTCTCCCCTAAGTTTTGGTGGATGCTGTGCATGATTTTGTAGACATAGGCAAGCTCACACTGGCGATTCACTATTAAATGCTCAGTCAAAACTGTTTACAGAGAACTTTACCTCTAGTGTTATTTACCCTGGGCCACTGTCATATGAAATCTAAGGACAAATCAAACTTATTCCTATTAGTGTTTTGAATACTTATCCATCTTCAGTACTTGCTGTCTGCTCAGAGACACAATTTGTATGCGTTCCTATTGTTTCTCACTGAAGTGCCACCACCTGTAATACCACAGCTGTTTCCTTCCCTTGCTTTCCTGCATTTGTGTTCGCTATGCCTTTTCTCTGATTCTCTATCTCCATTATCCTTAGAAAATACCCACTGTCCTGAAAGCCCCCACTTGAATTCCATTTCCTTTCCCAAGGCCTCTAAAGCCTTTGAGTCATGGTCCTTGCTTTTTAAAATCATTCAGAGGTTGGTCATCTTTGTTCTTTGAATTGTAATTTCTACATACCAGTTGGTATAGTTGTTCCTTGTTTAAATTCCTCATTTCTTCACAGGTATTGCAAGCCCCAGGAAGGCAGGAGGGAGAGGATGGGTTATTCTTTATTCCCTCCACAGGACATAGGGCAGGGTCTTATACATAAAGAAAGGTCATCTGATGCTGTTTCCCTCTAAAACGGACAGTATTAAAGGCCTGCCAAACTTCAGACTAATGGAATATTTTAATTCATGAATTGAATTATTGATGGAAACATAAAGGTGTGTTGTTTGGGAGAAGTAAGAAAATGATGGTGTCTTAGTTATTAAACTGTGTGTGTCTATAATCCACATGTAGACTTTTAAGGCTTGGACCCCTGCTATGAAAAGCTGGTAGATCTCATAAAGTCAGAAGAACAGCCGGTCTCCTGTGTTATGTGGCTGAATCAAAAAATGAGTGTGCCAAGTAGAATTGTAAAAGACGAATGGCTTGAAGTTCAGCATCTGAAAGCTAACAGATTTCGACAGAAATGATGTCACAGCATTTTCAGAAGTCGTGTTATTTCCATTTCCCGCTTGTAGTGTTGGTTTATCATGGAGATGTGATTCTTCTCATCAGTTTTGTTCATAGAGGTCAAATTATCCATCAATTTAAGACTAAAGAGGAAAAGACAAGATTATCAGCTAACCCACTAGCCCTAAATCTCTTATTAGTAGATAAGCAATCAATACTGGTCTCAAATAGAACTGGTAACAGGGTGGTCACAGCATCCAAGGGCTGAAATGCTCCCCATTTTCTCTTCCTTTCCCCACCATCTCAACCATATCAGACAAACAGACATTAAAGTACAAATGGGTACTGTTATCATCACCCTGATCCCAGAACTTGGGAGAGTGAGGAGAGGATTGAGAGTTCCAGGTCACCTTACGGGACAAGGCCCTGTCTCAACAAAGCCAAATGAAACAGGAAACAACAATGCTCCCACAAAAGACAGCCCCTGGACAGAATGAATTCCTCCTGCAGAGCTTCTCCTTCCCTTCCTGGCTCCTTCCCAGCATCTTCCTTCACCTTTCCCCCTGCTTTTATTTTTCTTTCTTGAGTTAAAAAGATCGGCTTTGTAGCTATTTCCTCTTAATAAGTAAGAGTTAATTGAAGCATCCCCTCAGAGAGGGGTGGGCGGGAAGTTCCTAAGACCCAGGTAACTGATGAGATTCATAACTCTCAGGACTTACAAGGCTCAGGAAGCACTGCAAGCTGCAAGGCTCTGCCAGGGAGCAGACAGACAGCAGTGGTTGCTAGGGGAGGAAACTGTCCAGGGGAGCTGCTGGCAAGTTGGGCAGGGAGCTGCAGGGACACAGAGACATCATGACTCCTGGGTAGGCTTTTTTGGTGACACAGTGGCTTCGGGTCATTCATGCTCCTGTCAGTTGTCCCAGAATCCTCACTGGCTCATCACAGTGGAAATGCATGGAATCTTTTATTCGGTCTATTGCCTTTGTCATGCACAGATGTTTATCCCCATCTCCCCAAGAGAAGACACACAAAAGGAAGGCATCTCATAAAAAAACAGATTGCTCCTTTGCTTTAAAAAAAAAGTTATTTTATTTTAATTGAAATATAAATTAATCATTTTCTCTTTTTCCCTCCAACACCCCATCACCCTATGAGTCCTCCCATGTCACATCTCTCCTTACTCCCTCAGGGCAGATCCATCTCAAATCCTCCAAGTCTCGTGTCCAAGCACAAGGTGTCTTCAGTGATAGGGACTTGATCAACCTGTGGGAGGTAGCTAAGGGCTCGGCGTCAGCCTATACTGTTTTGGGATTCTCATGGACTCCCACCCCCTTC